TCTGCAGAGAAAGATCATGTATAATCTTAGTAGAGCCTTATTTGTTGAAAATAGGAGCTAGTTATGAAACATAATTTCCAGATTTAGAAATTTTTGATTCATCAGAGGAGATATAAGGAAAGGAAAAGCTTTCTTTTTAAAAATAAAATAAGCTTTGAGTTGTTGATATAAGATAATTTCTATCCTGAAACCTTTCTTTGCTATTGAAGAGTTTTCAAAAGCATTTGTTCCCACACGAACCTACCCATTTCTTTTCAAAGTATATTTCACAACCAAGTTAAACCAAAAAAAATCTGAAAGTGTTGGTTTATTGTGGAAATACTTACACCTCCTTAAATAAACGTTCATTATTATACAGTAACTTACAAGTAGTAATAAATTATATTTACTTTAGACTAAAACATAATTGGAAAGGAATGTTTGAGACTTGGAATTCAAAAGCAACCATTCCCATTAACAATTTAGTTGAGTAACTTGCTGGTTTTGTGGTGTGTTATCTTTTCCTAAAGGTGAGGTAATTTATTTTAGCTGTGCAAACAAAAGTACAGATTTCTAATATAAAGATGTTAGCTAGTATACAAGAAGAAAAATGAATAGAAAATAATATAAATCCAATTTATCTCACATAATTCTCATTAGAAACAGCCTCCACAAATCCCTTTTGTGTGTGATAAATGAAGCAGAACAGTGGACTGTTCCTACTGGATGTTATTACTGTATACATTTATTGTATACATTTCTTTCTTTTTAAATATTTGTGTTTTAAAGCGTTTTAAAATATTAGAAATGCTCTGTACAATTTTTGGCAGCTGCCACTGTGTATCAGAAATTTTAGAATTAGAAGAGATTTTAGAGCACTTGTTGTCTAAACATGCTCTTGGGCATGTACCCAAAATCACAGAACTCAGTAGTAGGTTCCCATCATAATTAGATTTCCAGAGTTCTAGTCTAAGATTTCCCACTACATGTGACTTTCTAATCTTTTTTTTAAAGGTTTGTTTCACTGTTTATTGGCTTAATGTAACAATCTGAAGAAAAGAAATTGCTAAATTTAAGTTTGTTCTATTGGGCATGTAGGAAGTGTGAGTGAATAGGAAAGAATTGTCTTCTTTATCCTCAGATCTATAACCTTTTTCTTATACCATGCACCATCATGTTAAAGGAATCTTTACCTGAGTCACCTCCACAGCATCTCTTCAGCTGACTGCATCAACCAGCCAACTACACAGGGGAGACTAGACCTTAAAATCATGGAATTTGGAACTGGAAAAAACTCTGAATACCTTCTAAACCAAACATCTCATTTTCTGAGGTCCAGAGAAGTAGAACAGTTTGCCAGAGAAGCAGCATAATTCCTAACAGAGATGTATTTAGGTTCCAGATCTCTTGAGTCCCAGAATCAGACTCTTCCACTGGGCCATTCTGATTTCAAGCAGAGACCTGATACATTTCTGATATACTGTTGGGAATACTATTTTACTGCCTGGGAAGTTGGACACTCAACTAACCACTTAACAAGCTTTTTAAGACTCTGAACAAGAATCTATAATTTTTAATATGAAAGAAAGGCTCAAAATTAGGCACTTTTGGTTTTTTTGTGCAATAAACCACACCAGAAAGGGTTTAAGATGGTGCTCCATTATATCACATACCCTATTGTGGCAGATGTTGTTGTTACTGTTAGGTGCCATCGAGTCGGTTCCGACTCATAGCAACCCTGTGTACAACAGAATGAAATGCTGCCCAGCCCGACGCCATCCTTCACGATCGTTGTTGTGCTTGAGCCCATTGTTGCAGCCACTGTGTCAGTCTTTCTCGTTGAGTGTCTTCCTCTTTTTTGCTGACCTTCTGCTTTACCAGGCATGATGTCCTTCTCCAGGAACTAGTCCCTCCTAATAACATGTCCAAAGTACGTGAGGTGAAGTTTCTCCATCCTTGCTTTTAAGGAGCATTCTGGTGGTACTTCCATGACAGATGTGTTCATTCTTCTGGTAGTCCATGGTATATTCAATATTCACCCACACCATAATTCAAAGGCGTTAATCCTTCTTTGGTCTAACTTATTTACTGTCCAGCTTTTGCATTCATACGAGACGAGTGAAAATACCATGGCTTGTGAGGTGCACCTTAGTACTCAAAGTGAGGCAGATAGAGGGTTTTAGTGGGGTTCTACTGTAGTAGGATTTTGATAGTAGTTACCCTGCAGTTGATGAAATAAGGAAGTAAACTATCAAAAGCAGTGGTTGACATTTAGTGCTCCAATTGCTTTGGTAATAAAATGAGAAAGTTTGGAACAAAAAGATCTTGAGAAAGAAGTTGTAGTTGAAGTATGAAAATTATAAATATAAGATTATTACTGAAGCTATCAAGTTAACACTTAACCTTTCATATATTTCTTAATAAATATCTATAATACATAATAAATAATACATAAATAAAGCAATAGGGAAGGGGCAGGAAGAAATGTAACTTAGATTTCTCTTATGGAA